CAGCCTTTTTTTTTTTTTTTTAACTATTCTACAGCGTTGTTAAAGAATGATTTGCAAAATTAAACAGAATTTTAAAAGTTAGCATCAATTTACAGAGAGTCTAATTTGAAGAATTTTTTAAAACTTTAACAATTAGAGTTTAAAACTAGTAACAACATTTAACGCCGCTTCAATCACAGAGAGATTCCTTTTTAAGACCAATGACAAAGACGCATTAGACACAACAGAACTCGGAGACATATCCCATTACATGATAACCAGAACGGAAATCTTATTTAAAACAGTCACCACAAATTCGCGGTCACTCACATTCTGTTAAATTAAGTTAGTTTTGATGAGATCTTCCACTTAACTTTCTCCCATACGCATTTTTTAAACGAATTCTTCCATGTTTGTCCTTGGGGCTATTCATCATTATCTCAGCATATCCCTTCGCCATTTATTTCAGCATCTTATACTACTCAACTCCATCAGAAACATACTATATTTTTAAAAATAAACCGGTTATGATGCACCTTGAAATTAAACTTATAGATGATGAGCCTGCTGCATGTTTACCTGATCTGCTGCAAAGATAATTCGTTGCGAAGCATAAGTTAATTGAGAGTAATTTTCACATTAATTAATATTCCCAAAGTAGTGTTGTAACCTGAGAACTTGAGAATGTCTTAAACGCTTGGGAGGCTCTTACAATAAAAAAGACCTGTTCCATCACTTATTACAGTCCTTTAAGTGTCTAATTACAGATTATAACACCATATAATTAAACAGAATATATATTTTGCTCTTGAAGTTATTGATTTATACCTGCAAGGGAAACGTTTAATTTATTTTCCCCTAATACAGAAATAAAGGGAATAATTAGGGAGGACTAAAAAAGCAACGTTACTTTACTTAGGAACTTAATTTTTGTAGTTGACTTGTTGATATTTAAAATAAGTAAAATTCTCTCACTACAGGAAGTGTTACTAATGTATCCCCTTTCCCCTTAAAAAGAAATTGATCCCTTACATTGCCTTGGCCTTTTGTTTGTGTGCTTATTTGATTGCAGATTTTTAAATTCTTGTATCCTTTCCATTGAACAAAAAGGTTTGTTTTCTTAAGTAAATTTTTTGATCAGATAATAAATATCGTATATTATCATATAGCATAGATGGAGATCAAATATTGATCTGATAATAATAATTACTGAATAAGAATATATTGAAAAAAGAATATATTTATGTTTATTTTTACATTTGCATAAAATTTTTCGAACGAAAATACAGCAATTTGCACAAATGTCCAAAACTTAGTATTTAATTACTCAAAAACTATAAACTCTATTTATAAAAATTCTGTAAATTACATGAATAATACGCATTCTAGTAAATTTTTAGTAATTTGGATTTAAAAAAACTAACAAATTTATCGTACCCATGAATTTGAAATATATGTTCAAAAAATTTATTGTTTAAAAACCCGTTTATTTACTATCTGCTTATTAATGCAATATACGCCATATATTTTTTTTTCATATACGCCATAATTTCCAACTTATTAATCAGTTGTTTCACGTGACAGTTATGTTTTTCTTTCTTATCTCTTAATTCATCAAAACTACTAACACGACTTAAAATTCCTGCAATCATACATTCAACAAAAATTATATTAATAACATGTACTGTGTTAAAATTTTAGTAAATTGGATAAAAATGTATGAATTTAACGTGCCTTCGAGTTAAGAAAAACATTATTTTAAGAAAATGTATTGTTTGAAGCTCATTAATGCAATTTACGCTGTATTTTTCAATGATTTCGAACTTTTTTTTTCTGTGAAAATGTGGCAGTTCTCAAATGTGACATTGATGTTTTCTTTTCATCTTTCACCCTCCCCCCTCTATATCTTTTAATTTTTCTACTATGTTGTCGTTTTCTTTTAATGTAACTAATTTTTGAATCTATGTTCCCCAACACAAAAATTTAAGATTTAAGTTAATTATACCTTATACGTTATCAGTGAGGAAATTATTCTGCTCTTTTTAGTATGAAAAAGGGATTGAATTAAATGTTTTTACGCTTATAAATGTAGAAAGTTCTTTATTTTTTATGAATTGATACTTTTAATTTCAGTTACAAAAAAAAAAGATCTTAATATATTCCCAACGAGAAAAAAATACATTTCGTCATAGGATCCTTTAAGAGTGATTTAAAACAACTATCAAGAACTGTATTGTCGTTAATTAAGTAAGAAAAGGATGAAAATCACATATTCTTACTCTTTAACATCCTGTTTGTTGGTGCATTTATTTTTGGCAATATATTCGCTTTTAAGTTAGACAAATATTGTGTGTCCGGCTGTACTTTTATAAATCACATTATATTTCCCGGTTGTTACACGTTTTCACTTCCGCATCGCAACTTTATGTCCAAATTGTCACTCTTCGGATTGGGACAAATAGTCTGAGATTTTATTAAAAATAATTAATTTATCTTCTTTTATCTAATTTATAGCAGGCGGAAGAGATGCAAAAATTCTATTCATTCCTTTTATGTGAAAGCATAAAATTTTATGCTATCGAAATTTATTTTCACTTAAAAATAAATACCGATATTTTATTATTTAATAATTACCACGATGATCTTAAAAGTTTGTCCAAATTGGTAATTCTAAAGGGAAAAAAAATAAAGACAGCCTAACCCTTTGATGCAGAATTTTCATTAAACATATTTTTCATACTTTTTTTTCTTTATTTTCTGTATTAATTTTGGTCAAAATAAGTGAAAAAATAATATATTTAGCATTTTAATAATTTATGGTTATGAAATACAGTATAAAACACCAGTGTTTTTTTCTGGGATAAAGCTAAAATCTTCCAAATATGCACTCACTTCCAAGCAATAATTTTTCAAATTTGCACTTACTTGCAGTTGCTTAGATCTAAGAAAAACAGCAATTCATCATTGAAATTTTTTTAATTTACAAATACAATTATTAATAAATTTTTGAATACGAATGGGAAAAAAAATCCTAACTCTTTTTTTTTTCTCATTTTATATTTTGGAACAAATATAATTCCGAGAATCGAACAAATTCTTTAGCAACGATTAAATTGTCTCTTATAATTGATAAATACCAAAATGTATTTTTACTTGTAAGTAAAAGAGCGAGCTTCAGAAAGGAAATATATACAAGGGACACTGGTATCCCATTTGCGTCAAAGAGTTCTTCGTAATTTACTCTAAAAGTTCCTGTACAGTACGCGAATTCGTAATGCAAAAATAACAAGTTTTCAAACTATATTTTTTTGTTATAATCACTTTTAATATAACATAGAAGATTTAGAATTTGAGCACACATAAAATGTTTTTTTCGTTCTTTTATTGAAAATAAAGTTTAATCGGGATAAGATTAAATGTAATCGGGATAGAAAAAGTTCAATTGGGAAACTTAAAACGCATTTTAAGATGCTTTAAGGGACTTCTTGTAATAAAAAATTTTAAATCATAAATTGATTGTGGATTTTTTTTTACAGCTATGCAAAAGAAAAACAGGGGTGATATTTACAATTTGTTTTATAAGTCTATATAATTACTACATATAATTACTACAGTTTATAACCTACTACCCTTATGTTCTCTAAAATATAAGAATATTTTATTGAGGAAAACATATGAGAATATATCTTGTTTTAAAATTTGTTCTTCAATGATAATAATTTTCATATTAATTGTAATAATTATTACGTTAAGGTATTTGCGAAGCAATATTTCTGAATAAAACATAATTTCACGTTAAAAATTCCTTCGAAAGGTAACAATTCATAGTTAATATAAAATTAACGTTAATGTTTATTTACTTTTTACTATTAATAAAACATTTAAAAAAAATTCTGAAAAATTTGGGACTCAGATTCAAAACAATCACCACAATATACCAATAAGGTGACAGAAAAATACAAATATTTCTTAATTAAAACGCCATTTTAATCTGCATAAATGAGTCGAATAATTTGTTTCAGCGTATAACTTCTGTTTGCGTTTTGTTTTCAAGGATTAATAAGATTAGTTGCAATAAATATTGGAGNAATTCTGAAAAATTTGGGACTCAGATTCAAAACAATCACCACAATATACCAATAAGGTGACAGAAAAATACAAATATTTCTTAATTAAAACGCCATTTTAATCTGCATAAATGAGTCGAATAATTTGTTACAGCGTATGACGTCTGTTTGCGTTTTGTTTTCAAGGATTAATAAGATTAGTTGCAATAAATATGAATATTAGTTTTCTTACAAACTGTCTTAATTTTCCTAAAAGTTGATTATCATTTACAAATATTTTTTTTCAAACCAAAACACTAAATTCTTTTTAGAGAATATAAATTTTTTTCATTAAATTCTAAGACAAAAAAAAAAGTAATAATTGTGAAATACCTGAATCATTTGAAATATCCATTTCAAAAATACGTTAATCAGGAATTTCACAAGTTTTCTAACAAAATTTCTTAATTTTCCTAAGAGTTGATTATCATTTACAAAAAATTGCAGTAAATATTTTTTTCGAACTAAAACACTAAATTCTTTTTAAAAAGTATAATTTTTTTCATTATATTCTAAGACAAAAAAAATATTTGTGAAATACCTGAATCATTTGAATTATCCATTTCAAAAATATGTTAATCCATCTCAAATGTTATTCTCAAACTTAGGATAAAGTAACAATGCGAACTAAAATGATTCAAAACTGTCCCACAGTGATGGAAGCATAGTTCTGAAAAATCAGTATGTCTTACAACGGAATTAGCCAATACCTAGATTTGTGAGTCAACCACGTATCAACAAGGTGAACAAAATAAAAGAAATGCGACGTCAATTTTCCATTATCTAGTTATAGATAAAGATGGGAACTAGTGTGATGACTGCTAATGATTGTTATTATATCGCATGTCTCGTAACACACATGATAGAAATGACATATTATCCTCTTTCTCATATCTACTTTATGGAACATTCTTCGGGGTGCGTTAAGTGGTTACCCAAAGGATCCTCCTTCATAATCAAAAGGATATCTTTATAGTGAAAACTTGTTTCGAAAGAAATGGGCCTATAGTGTCAGGTATCGAAAAATACCTCGTTAATGGAAAATTTATTCATGTCATCTTGTTACAAATGGAATTTTTACTTGCTGCTTAATTTTTTACTAGTTGTTGAGCCCGGCGTAGCTGGAGGGAGTAAAAAGTAATCTGTATGAGCAGAAAGCGATTATCAGAAAATAGTATTTGTGGGTATGGTATTGGTAATAATATTCAGTCGCGTAGCCAATGATTTCGTTGCAAGAGGCGGATTCTAAATGTCCTATCATGTACTCTCCACTTTCTCATGGATTCGTATTTATAGTTAAACTCATGTATGAGCCGAGGTGCTCAGGGGATAAAATGTTTGCCTCACAATGAGGTAACCCAGGTTTGAATCCTAACGGTGGCTGATTGATACAAATTCTGTTCCCGACTCGCACCGACCACAGTGCTGGAGTAAAATATCCTCTATGNTTTCGAATGGGGGGGGGCGCTAAAAAGGTATTGTGCCCCGGGCGCGAGTTAGGCTCGCTACGGCACTGCCTCTATGGTAAACGGATCAGGGGTTAGAATCCCCTTGTCTTCGTTATAACAGTGGGAGGATTTCGTGGTTTTCCAGTCCATGTAACGCAAGTGTTGGTTCTATTTAAAAGCCCTCCACGAGATCTAGTTCGTCCCAATTCTTGAGCCAGGAGTTCCCTTGTCTTCCGGATTGTGTTCAAAATTATAAAGCCACGGAATTGAACATTGACAGTTGTAAATTCAGAATTGGGTTAGCTGTTCAACGCTTTTTATAATATGGTAATGCTAATCCCATTAATTTACGTAGTTAGAGATTTTGTCCCTCGAGGCAGACTTTCATACCCTTTCATGTTTTCCCCAAACTTTCATGCATTTTTATATAAAGAGTAGGCCTTGCTGGCTCATGGGATAGAGTGCTCGCCTCCCATTGAGATGAACCGGGTTCGATCCCAGCGATAGCTGATCTATACGAATTCCGCATTCGGCTTGCACCGACCACGCTGCTGACGTGAAATATCCTCAGTGGTAGACTGATCATGGGTTAGAGTCCCTTTGCTATCGGGCTAACCTATGGAGGTTCTAGAGGTCTTCCTCTCCATGTAACGCAAATGCGGGTTAGTTCCATCAAAAAGTCCTTCACGAAGGCAAATTTCCTCCAATTCTTGATCCAGGAGATCCCGTGTTTTCTGGTTTGAGTTCAAAATTACAAGGCTACATAGATGAACATTAGTAGTCGTAAACCCAAAAAACTGGGTCGGCTATTCAACAACGGTTGTAAAATATAATATATAGTTACAGTAATAACTCATATAAACTAAGAGCGTAAGGACAGACGTTACTCACTCATTAACTCATAATGTTCATAGTAACCGCGTCTCTAAAATATAGCCATAGAGTAAAGAAGCATAAGCGTTTGGGGAGTGAGGAGTAATTTTTTTAGAAACATTTTTGTTAAATTTTTTTTCATCCAAAATGCCACATAAGAGGTACACAAAAAAAAAACTTTTAATTCTAAAAGGAATGCTCTGTATTTAATTATTAATTAAAGTATTTATATCAGTATTAATATAAATCTGTTTTCTGGAGCAACGGTTCCTAAAAAGTGTTCCGCTTCACCTTAGGTTTCCGTGGTAGGCTCACAAGAATTCTGAGAGTTAGAACTTTCCTTTTAAAGCCAGTAATAAGTTTCGAAACTGTTAATATATTTATATTCAACCAAAACAGTCCATTATTTATTTAATATTTCGGTTATTTTTATGAAATTATTGAAGCAAAATGTCAGAAAATTTATTACTTGAAAAGAAAAAAAAATTCTATTAACAAGGAGTTTAATTTTTTATAATTGTTAATATTTTATATTGGTATAGTATTTCCCATCAGAAGTTTCAAACATTGAGAATAACAAAATTCAACAACAAAGAAATGTGCTTCTTTGTTGTTGAATTCATAACAAAGAACATGCATGACAATGACAATTAAATCAACAATAATAATTCATTTCAGTTTCAACAAAAACCATAAATTCAGCCTATTTTACTCATTTTCAGCTCATGCATACATCAAAAACAAATTCAGAGCTCAGAGCTAAACTACATGCTGTACAAAATCCGTGAATCTAATTTTAAGATTTTTCTAATTTTGATAAAATTTGATCTAATTTTGATAAAATCTATTGTGATAAAATTTGATCTAATTTTGATAAAACGATGAGGAATTCAATATTATTTTTTGCAAAATGATTAGTAGTCTTTCTTTACTTAGGTTCACAATAGTTAATGATTTTTATTTAAACTAAGGTTTTCGCCGAACGACAGTCGATCATCAGGGTTCCGTATCACGAAAAAAATTGGGAATCGCTGATCGAGCGATTCAAAAGACATATTCTACAACTCAAGATAAATTATATTTTTATTGTTTTACATTCTTAAAAATAAAATAAATGTTCACTAAATGCCTTTGTTTTTCGTCAGATTTTTATTTTTGAAAAAATTAAGGTTTATTTCAATTTTAAGGAATTAATTTAAATAAAAATGCAGTTTTTCTACATTTCTTAGTGTATTTTTAAATACTATTACGACTATTTCTGAAGTTTCAAGTCAATATTAGAAAATTATTCATGTTAGAAATATGTTTCATATTTCATTCGAAATAAATCAAGACTAGAGGGCTTTCATACTAAGAGCGATAAAGCTGAATATTCATTGATGGTTATTCGTTGAGATTGATGCAAGCCAGAAGCAGAATTCGTATCGACAAGCCATCGCTGAGATTCGAAACTTGATCACCTCATTAGAACGTAAACGCTATATCCCTTGCCCCACGGTGACTCTTATAAAGCTATTTGTAAAAGGCCTTCGCAAATAGCTTAGAAATTATTTTTAAGAAATTGATCTTTTTGTGTTTCAGAGCAAGAAATTTTAACCCAGGTCACATAAAACCTATGGCTGATCATATACACACCGGTTCGCAAAGTGCTGTTCGTACTACACACATCATGTGCAAAAAGTTACTTAATTGTTGGGGCATATCAGAAAAATTTGGAATCTGATTGCTGTGCAACGTCGAGACATATCATAAGTACGATGCAAACCTTACTGTACAGTCTAGTTGGTAAAAACAGTGCATTCTTTTTGGTTTTCATTAAAAAAGTTAAAATTTTAATCAGTATTTTGATCAGGGGCTCAGCTTCTCTTTATCGGGTCAGAAAAAGACTTCCTCTAACTCACTATTAGGTTTGGAAGAAGAAAAAAAAGAAAGAAAAAAAAAAAGAAGAAAAAAAGCTTTTTTAAGTCTGCTGTCTAAATAATTTAAAAGATTTTTATTTTATAAAAAATGATTACAAAATGTTAAAATAAGTCATTTTAATTAAAAAAAAACAGTTTTTTAAATTATTTCGAAACTTTTCCTTTATAATACTAGTAGGATAAAGTTCTTCAATGATTAGATCCTGATTAAATCATTATCATTAATTGCATATAATTGTTGTGGTGCCTGGTGGTTTTATTTCATGAATTTACTTACAAAAAATGAAAGCAAAACCAAAACTTAATAGCAATTATTAAACAGAAACATGTATGATAAACAAAAATACAATTCTCTGACAACCTAATTCGTTACTGGTTCTTATTTATTTTCAAATGCTCTTCAGAAAAATAAAACCATCCGAAAGAAGCGCAGCGCCATCTCTTGATTAATATAATATTGAACAAGTAAATTACAACCTCACATTAAGAAGTAATAAGAACAAGTAATGATAAACTCACATTTTTAAATATTAACTATGTTATATAGTCATTTTACGTCCATCGTAATTTCAACAAGGGCTGTGGAGTTGGAGCTGAAGAAAATTTTGGATGTAATCGGAGTTGTAAAAAAAAAAAATTGCTCAACTTCGACTTCGGTTAGTTAAAAATTAGATCGTGCAGTTTGAAGATGGGAAAAAATTGATCTCATGAAAATTATTGAGACAAAAATTTATAATCATGCAAACAGAGATATTACTGTAATGAATACTGTGACAATTATATAATTACAGACATAAAAATTATACAATTACAGAGTTTTTACTTATTACAAAATTAATTAATCACATTTTGACGTTTTTGAGCCTATGATTTATCTAGACAAATCTTTTAAAATATTGAAAATTAAGATTAATATATGAACTTCATAATTTATAAATTGTTAAATCAAATTTATCTTGCTAGGTTACTAAGTGGATTCAAAAATATATGCTAATGAATTTCATTAGAATTTAAAATATGAGCAAGTGTGCATGTCAGACATTGATAAAGAGTTCTTTTTTAATAAAAGTTTTATGCAATAGGATACCTGCTAGTGACGTCATCGTCACTAGTCAGTCAATTCAGAATCCAATCAGATTCGACGCACACGCGTGACGTCGTTAACGGGTTTTTTAAAGACGTGTTGGTCTCTCAGGCCATCCAATTTCACGTTGGTCTAAGCCACAACACCCCAACCTTCAACATGCCAAATTTTATGATATTAGTCAGATGATGGATTGCCCTATCTCAACTCTAATGATGATGTACTTGGTTCTCTTTTTACGTGAACCCATCGATTGTTTGAATTGGGACTCACCAGTAAAGAGAATATGGGCTCACTGCACTAATATCCAAGTTTAATGTTATTAACTTGGACGTTATTAATGTTATTAACTTTCAGTTCGGACAAGCAAATTTGGAGGTTGGCGGGCAGCAGCGAGTAAGGGGTGATTAAATTTG